TTTAAGAGATAAAAAATAAATTCGTTGAAAATTTGAGAGGAGACAAAAAGAAATGGTCCTACCATAAAATAAAATAAATAGGTGTTGATATTAATAAATTCTCTAATAGATATAAGAGTTCAATAATAGTTGGAAATGAACTAAAAAACCTGAAAAATTAATTAAATCAAGAAAAAAATATAATCAACTAGAAAATAAAAAAAAAAATCCAATTCGATTTTGTTTTAATTTTAAAAGCTTCAAATTGACCAAATCAAACCAATTCATCCGTCTCTTTGAAAAGATAAAAAAAAAACTATAAATAATCTAACACTAACCTAAAGCAACATAGTCCCACAGCCCCCCATTTATCAGTGCCTCTCATCTATCCTTATTTTGATATATTTTTTAACAAAAAAAACTTAAAAAAATCATTGCAAAATGTTTTATTATATTCAAATAAAAACTTTATTTGAAGGTCTGCTTTAAAAAGAAAGAGAATATTATTTTATTGGTCTTTTATTCAAGGAGAAATGTAAAATTTATATATAGCCATGATAATAACTTTGAAATTGATAGATATTGGAAATTCCAGAGTATTAGGAGTGCAAGTGAATCTCGGTCCCATAAGCCCAATAGTTGATCCAGGCTTAGCCCACAAAAAGTTCAGAGCTTAATTCTTAAGTCCAGAGCCAATTTCAAGGCCGAGAGACAAAGGTCACAGCTCTTGTCTTGGAAGCCCAATAGCTTCCTTAATGTTGGTGAATTTAATATATAGATTTAAGCTCGTGGAAGTGCCGGAGTGGTTATCTGGTGTGACCAGAAGCCATGTGGGTTCTGCCCGCGCAGGTTCGGAGTGTGGATATCCATAGTCATAAGATCTAATTACCTAGGCAACATTTAACTCTTTTTAACAAAAAAACAATCCTCAAAGAAATTTTTTTGGATAAATAAAAAAAATTGAGTATTTTCAATAGCCCCACCTAGCAAGGACTCAATTGGAAGCAGAATTTAAATTCAGTTATACTATCAAGTGTTAACTATATCATATTCAATATTTTTAAAACAATATTCTTTCACTCGCAACCACACCATTCACGACACTATAACGGAATAATATTGTATCCAAATTGTCCATTTATCTTTATATCTTGATTTTTTTATTTTTTAAAATAATTTTTAAGAATTTATAATTTTATATTCTAATCCTCAAACTTTATTTTTTTTTATGTTTTAGCCTCTTGATTTTAAGAGATAAAAAATAAATTCGTTGAAAATTTGAGAGGAGACAAAAAGAAATGGTCCTACCATAAAATAAAATAAATAGATGTTAATATTAATAAATTCTCTAATAGATATAAGAGTTCAATAATAGTTGGAAATGAACTAAAAAACCTGAAAAATTAATTAAATCAAGAAAAAAATATAATCAACTAGAAAATAAAAACAAAAATCCAATTCGATTTTGGTTTAC